TCCATGGCAATAAATGTTTCTTTCTTTCTTTCATTTTTTATGATTACAAAACGATCGAGCTAACTGCACATCTCGCTGGAATGCGACTCTCCCTCACACGTAGGGTTGCCAGGTCCAAAATCACAAAAGCCGGACTTTGTTTCATTTGGCCGGACATTTTACACTAAAAGCCGGACATGTGACGGACGGGGGGGGGGGGTGCAATTAGTGTCAGCTCATAAGTGAGTACTATCATCATCGGTTGCTAACCAACATCCTGATGCGTGCTCTTCATATGATTCTGTGGCTTTACTTTCGCCTGGCGCGGCAACCAAATAAAAAGCCTAACAAAAGCCGGACAAGGCAATATTTGGCCGGACAAGACCCTAAAAAGCCAAACATGTCCGGCTAAAGCCGGACGCCTGGCAACCCTACTCACACGACACCTCGCGTTCGCCCTGTCCGTACATACCAGAGCGTTGATGTAACGTCGTGGTTGCCAGGTGCGCAGTTAACTCGACCGGATTGTAATGTTTTATACAGGGTGTTAGGTAAATGGGTATATGAGCCGACACTAGCCCATGTTAATATGGGCATATAATTAAATGGTATGGTGAAGTCAGAAATTTGATATCATCATTTTAATTTTTTAAAATTTCATACAAAATTTTTATAAAATCCGATTTGTATGAAAATTAAACTTATTAAAATGAAGATATAAATTTTTTGACTTCATGATGAAATTAAACAAAGCTTAATATGAAGACTTTATATTTTAGAGTAAAATATATGAGAACATTTAGTCAACGCGACAAGGACGAGAGTGCCCATAGACAATATTAGTAAGGAGTTTCTATTATGCGTCCATAAATCCAACATCCTCTCCTGGACGCAGATGTTTTAAAAGTAGACCCATTGACGCAGCAAAGATTTCATGCTTGGGGCGATGGAGTCCTTTTGTCAAGATGTCGGCGACCATATCTCCATATGCTTCATCGGTCCACAACACATACGTCACTATGGACTAGCTCTAGCAAGTTCGTTGCACGGGAGCCTTCAGTGGGGAATGGTTTTCTTGTTTGCTTGCCTTCAACACATGTCACACAACTTTTGGCCATCATAACTTGCATTTCTTGATTTTTACAAGTAATTAATCGATATTTCTCATTCATTTTCTCAGCCTTTGCAACTAACTTATTGCATGGATTGTAAATTTGACAGCCATGTTCATTAAATATTATTCTACATCCACTTTTGATTATTTTACTGACTGATAACAAATTTGTTTTTAATTCTGGTACGTATAGAACATTCCTCACCTGTATTGCATCGGTGCTGCCATCTTTTGCATTTACTTTGATGCATACATTTCCACAGCATTCAACTTTTAATACTTTATCATCAGCAATTCTTATGCACGGTACAGATGAAGGAGTGATATCAGTGAGCCAGTCCCGGTGCCGTGTCATATGCATGGATGCCCCTGAGTCAACATACCACGAATTGGAGGGATTACTAATGTTTGGCCAAAAAACGTTTCCCAAATTATCACATCGCAAACAACGTTTCGCAAATTTTCATTTGGCAAATTCTCATTTGGCAAAACAACTTATTGCAAACTTTTAATTCGCAAATGTCGTTTTTGGCATATTATTATTTAGCAAATTATTGTTTGGCAAAGTATGTTTTGCCAAATGTTTCATTTGGCAAAAATATTTCACGATAAACTATTTACAAAATAATTTGATTGGTGCATAGAATGAAATACAAATTAGCTTGTGGTTATTAATTTGTTTAGTGGGCAGTTCATATAAAATTTGTTCTAAATTAATTTCATTATTTTTATCAACATTTCCAAATGATTCATTAACAATAGAGTTGATTCTAGCGCTCGGCGGCCGCTGCCGCGGCACGCTTCGCTCACCTTCGCGCATTAAGGGTCACTGTTCTAACCTAACCTAACCTACTATTTTCTGCAATACCTACTTTTTGCAACCATACTATTTTCTGCAATCTGTTTGTTTTACATACAATTCTTGTGAAAACCATGATCATGTGCCTTATGCTTTGATTTGTGGGTAACGGTGGGTAAGTATGTGAAGTGTCAATTTGACCAAACAAATTATTTGGGATATAATATTTGGCAAAATAAAACATTTGCTATGTAAACATTTGCCAAGTAAAATTTTGCCAAATGATAATTTGACCAAATGAATTAGTTGCGAAAAGTACAGTTGCTAAAAGTTCATTTGGGAAATGAAACTTTGGCGATAAGTTATTTGCGAAGTGAAATTTGGCGAAAAGTAATTTGGCCAAACGGAAGGATACCCGAATTGGAGTCATTTGTTGTGGAAGCTGAAAAAGCTGCGACATATCCTGTTTCCATCTCTTTCTTCTTATTATTATTTGCCTTTTTATGCCAACAATTTTTACTGAGATGTCCGAACTTGTTACAATTAAAGCACCTANGGGAATGTATCCCATACCTTCGCACGATGACGACTTGGGCGCGTTTGGGACATTGTTGGACTATACGCCTGCTGTTGTACCCCATTGCACTGTAAGTATTAGTCTCATCATCATCATCATCATTTCAGCCATAGGACGTCCACTGCTGAACATAGGCCTCCCCTAATGCTTTCCACGTTGATCAATTGGTAGCGGCCTGCATCCAGGGCCTCCCTGCTACCTTTACGATATCGTCGGTCCACCTTGTAGGTGGACGTCACACGCTGCGTTTTCCGGTACGCGGCCTCCATTCCAGAACCTTGCTGCCCCATCGGCCGTCAGTTCTGCGTACTATGTGCCCTGCCCATTGCCACTTCAGCTTCCTAATCCGTCGGGCTATGTCAGCGACTTCAGTTCGTTTACGGATTTCCTCATTTCTGATTCGATCTCGCAAAGAAACACCAAGCATAGCCCTCTCCATAGCACGCTGTGCAACTTTGAGCTTCTGTATAAGGCCTATAGTGAGAGGCCACGTTTCCGAGCCATAAGTTATCACTGGTAACACACATTGGTTGTAGACTTTCGTCTTCAGGCACTGCGGTATTTTGGACGAAAAGATGTTACGTAGTACTAGTCTACCACCATAAAATAAAATAGTTTATTCAGTACATAGGCCCTTTCCAGGGCACTTAAACACGTCCCAAATATAGCTTGCCCTACCAGTCCACCACTTCGGGACAACATATGGGCTGGTGCTGAGAAGTTGCAAAAGAAACAGTCACCTTTATCAGCCTCAATCAAAATACTATCACGTTTTTTTTAAATATTTTTTTTTTCGCGCGTCTTCTTGAATGAAACGATCTATAACTCTATTTACAGTCTATCCCATGGGGAGCACGAAAGGCATTGAAATGGGTGAAAGAAAACTGCGGTAATCCTGCCATAATGATCATTGAGAACGGTTTCGGGACCCACGGCGGGTTGCAGGACAACGACAGAGTCACATACCTTCAAAGCTATCTGTTGGAGATCCTGGACGCTGTTGAAAAAGACCAGTGCAATGTCGTCGCTTATACTGTGTGGAGTCTGATGGATAATTTTGAATGGGACAGCGGATTGAGGTAAGCTATTTGCTATAGATTTTGACCTACATTTTATGAAACAACATCAAGTTATCATCTTTATTTAGTGATCATTGCAGGAGCAAGACCCTCTCTAATTTGCTGGATCAAATGCCTAAACTAACCGCGCTAGCCAGATGAGCCAGATCGGCCAGACATTTCATATTTTAATGGGCTTGTGTAGTTGTAATCAAATTGTAATGTGAATTACTTACTTATTATCAAGTTATTTTTATTGTTCGTTAATTTCGATTCGATCGATTAATAAAGCCTAGATGGATAGTCTTCATACAAACGCTTCGTCAAAGGTGAGGCAAAAATCTTACGTTACTGTCAGAACGTTGTTTTAAATGTTTAAATTGTGGCGATTTTTCGAAAGTGTGAGATATTTATCCACATTTATCGTAATAAAATGTTATTCTTTGTTATTTAATAAGACATTTAATCAAAACAAAGTTCCAAGTGGACCACCAAAAGTTGCCCCACTTTTCGTGCGCTTACTATCTATTTAGGCTTTAATAATGCCCCCCGTCCGCCAAAATTTATGTTGTTTCTGACTAATCCCAGACATTTAATAAATTGTACACGTTTTTCAGAGTCAAATTCGGAATATTCGAAACCAATTACGACGATGAGAAGAAAACACGGACTCCTCGAGCTTCCGCGTTTTGGTATAAGAATCTGGCAGCGACGAAATCTTTAGACTGTGATTTCAAACCTACTTTTAAAAATATACAATTTTAAGACTGATTTTATTTATTTATAAGCGTTTCGATGATTGGAATTTTATTATACCTAAAAAAATACTAGGTAGGTAAGTACTTGACAAAATAATTTTAAATAGTTTTGTATAGGTACATCTACGAATTATATATTTTTTTGTAATATCATGTAATAATGAAGTAGGTAGGTAGGAATTAAAGAAAAAAATGTTTTACTTAAAATATTTATTTCTCATTCATAAAAGATTTAAGTAAGAATGTACTTAAATTAACTTAACTATTATACAAGTTCTTATCGCAAATAAATGCTAGAAACATTTTATTTGATTTAAATTGTTAGTAAATATGATATTTACGAAAATACTTATTTTAAAATGGAAGACTAGACAGACTTTAAAAAAGCATATTAAATATAATTATACAGGTAAAAATAATACAGTAATCGTATTGGAAGAATAAGATTTTATAAGGCACAATACCATATTGTGTTTTCAAAAAATATTAATTTTATCACCATAGTGCGTAAATAGATCATGGTGTAAAATTTTTTTGTGCTTCAAAATTACAAAACACTATCAAGAAAAATTATATCATACTATCGAATTACATTTTATTTAGACGGACGATCACATAATTATACTTCAATAATTAACAATAGTTAGCTTTTTATTAAGAGGCACATTACTTGTTTATATTTACTTATCATATAATTTGAGTGATTTTAGCCTTAAATCTAATTGGTTTTAATATTGTAGACTTCTAGACTTGTCAACTGTTAAACGTTTGATATAATACAGTGTCGTATCTTAGTACAGCTAAAACATCTAGATATATTTGTGTACTAAAAGTACATTACTAAAAGTCTAAAAGCAATACATAAATGTCGCGTTTGAGTCCCTTCGCTTTAGTTTTAACCCTCAACCAATGGTAAATATTAACCACGTTATTTACTTTAACTTGTTGTACCTTTTTACATCGGACTTGTCTTTGTTGCTTTTTACATTGGATTTGTTTGAACTAACCAACCACAGTCTCTTCACGTAGCCTTAGGCGGGTGCATCATGCTATCCAACAGTTTGTACACTTCCAACATTTTGGGCCGTTCGTTATGCTGATAGCTGGTGCAGTGGATGCCCATGTTCATGAATTAAAGTACAACAGTAACCACATTATTTTAAACTGTAGCACCTTGTGTTAAAGTCCAAAAACAAAAAGAAAATACATTTTTCATAAACTTTTTTACGTCATTGTCATTTATACATTGGCGTTGTTCCTTTTTACACCGGGCTTTGCGTTGTGGCTTTTAACATTGGACTTGGCGTTCTTGGACTTAATTACATAACCTCACCAACCAGTATATCTTATAACAAATTGTTCACGTAGCTTTTGGCGGGTGCATCATGCTGTCCAACCGTTTGTACACTTCCAACATTTTGGGCCGTTCGTTGCGCTGATAACTGGTGCAGTGGATGCCCATGTTTATGAACTCGCGACATAGTTGCGGGTTCGAGTGCGGAGTTCCGTAGAGCACGCGGTCTTCGTATTGTGCTGGAAAAGCAATGTTATGTAAGAGCGATGAGGAAAGAGATTTTACTAAATGGTAACCCTGAATACACAACCACCTGACAATGTCTACCACGTGTTTTTTTAAATACCAATGTGTTCTGTATGTGATTCTGTGATTTGGCCAATGTTACAATACTTACAATACACTTTCAGACTTTAGTTGTTCAAACTTAAGCATATCAAGAAAACGTGAGTATATTAAATAGACGTGCGTTTGATATGTGAGAAGTGCGTGGGATATGTGATAGGTAATCAATTTTTAAATAAAAAAAAACTTTATATTGGCTAAATCAGTAAAGTTAGTAACGTTGATAGGCGTCAAGGCGTTGAAAAAGTAGACTGCCTAGTGTGCCGGAGGCCTTCATACAAAGTTGTGTCATTTCGAACCTAGAAAGACATTTTTTTACACTGTTGGTTTTTAGGCGAACAATTTATGGACAAAGGTCATAGTTATTTTGCATAACTTTGTCCAATGATTTATTATTTATTTATAACTTGTATTAAATAAGGATTCTGTGGCTTACCTGTGTCCTGTCTCTGCTCTTTTTGCACTCTCATGAAGTCCGCCAGCTTTTGTATGGGACGCGAAGCATCCGCCGGCCTCAGACTTGTGGCCAGTTCCAATAGCACCACGCCGAAGGAAAACACATCTACTGCGGGTGATAGACAGCCCGAGCGAAGATATTCGTCGGGGAGGTAGGGACGCGTGCCGTGAACCCTAATATAAAGATATAAGGCTTATTTTAGAACGAGTATATGCGTCTATCTACCGCTAGCGACAAATAACCCAAGTGCAATGACCCTTAACAACAAGGCACAGAGCTCATTTTACAATGAGTGGCTTTAGAAGTACCACGCCGAAGGAAAACACGTCCACTGCTGGCGATAGGCAGCCCGAGCAGAGATATTCGTCGGGAAGGTAGGGACGCGTGCCGTGGACCCTAATGAGAAGAGAATAGAGCTCATTTTAAAACGACAGCCAACGTAGCCCGATAAGTATGGACGCGCGCCTTAAACCCTAATGACAAAGAATAAAGATTATTTTGGAATGACAAGACACGCCCACTGTCGGCGAGAGGCAGCATTGATCCTTAACAAAAAGGCATAGAGCTCATAGTAGAACGAGCGGTATGCAAAGGCTCGTAGCTAGTTACAATAGCACCACGCCGAAGGAAAACACGTCTACTGCGGGTGATAGACAGCCCGAGCGAAGATATTCATCGGGGAGGTAGGGACGCGTGCTGTGAACCCTAATATAAAGATATAAGGCTTATTTTAGAACGAGTATATGCGTCTACCGCTAGCGACAAATAACCCAAGTGCAATGACCCTTAACAAGGCACAGAGCTCATTTTACAACGAGTGGCTTTAGAAGTACCACGCCGAAGGAAAACACGTCCGCTGGCGATAGGCAGCCCGAGCGAAGATATTCATCGGGGAGGTCCCTAACAACGAGGTAAGGACGCGTGCCGTGGACCCTAACAACAAGTAATAGAGCTCATTTTAAAACGACAGCCAACGTTCGATATAGGCAGCCCGATAAGTATGGACGCGCGCCTTGGACCCTAATGACAAGGAATAAAGATCATTTTGGAATGACAAGACACGCCCACTTTCTTCGTCAGGCAGCATTGATCCTTAACAATAAGGCACAGAACTCATTTTAGAATGAGCGGTAGCCTCAAGCTCGTGGCCAGTTCCAATAGAACCACACCGAAGGAAAACACGTCCACCGCTGGGGATGCGGAGATACTCATCGGGTAATTAGGGACGCGTGCCGTGGACCCTAATATAAAGATATAAGGCTTATTTTAGAACGAGTAGATGCGTCTACCGCTGGCGACAAATGAGCCTTAAGTACAAGGCATAGAGCTCATTTTACAACGAGTGGCTTTAGAAGTACTACGCCGAAGGAAAACACGTCCACTGCAGGTGATAGACAGCCCGAGCGAAGATACTCGTAGGGTAAGTAGGGACGCGTGCCGTGGACCCAACAGAAAAGGGAATAGAGCTCATTTTAGAATGACAAGACACGCCCACTTTCGGCGTCAGGCTGCCCTAGCGCATTGACCTTTAATATCAAGGCGCAGAGCTCATTTTACACGAGCTGGGAAGTTTTCTTCGCAAAAACCTTTTTATAGATGTTGAACTGAAATGGTGGGAGAACAAGAGGTAGGATTTTACTATAAAACACTAAGGTTTTGAAAACTAATTTAGTCGAAGGAACTAAACTTCGCTTTAGGGATGAGACTGGGCTATTTATAAAAAAATACTAAAAATGGCTCCAGCATTAAGAGCGTTTACGCCGTTTGGCNAGTTAGACATGAAACCGGTGGTGTGGCGAGGGGTGACAAGCTGAAGAGTCTGATTAGAGCGAAGATTTCTATTGTGAGTAGAATGAAGGTACTGGAAAGGTAGATATTATAATACATAGAAGCAAATACATAGTTAACTCATCTAGGATATTAAATTTATCTATGACAGTTATCAGAAAGTAGAAGAAATATTTTAAGAACAATAACAGTTAACGAAAAAAACCTCTTAAGACCACTTCACACCCATCTTACGTCACTTTCCCAAAATCTAATGGAAATTCGAAAACTTTTACCCAAAATAGTCTACAAAATCGTTACGNGCTTGCTTGCTAGCTTGCTTGCTTGCCTGCATGCTAGCTTGCTTGCTCGCTTGCTCGTTTGCTTGCTTGCTTGCTTGCTGCATGCAATGCTTATTATAACAATTGAACTTTATATAAAATTATTATTGTTATATGATTTAAGTTTTATAGGAAAAGAATTTTATCTCATTTGATTGTTCGACACTTTATTTTTATATGATTTGAATGTTATTTGTTTTAAATTTTATACATTGTAAGTTTTATAGAAAATATTCATTATATCAAACCATTTTACATCAGTTAAATGTTATTTGTCTTAAAATTATTCGTTTTAAAATTATATTATTCGTTTATTATAGTAAATAATTATTATATTAAATGATTTTATATAATTTGATGTTATATCCTCTAAGTATTATATGATATGTAGTTATATCATACATTACACACCCATAAAAATTAGGCTACCAATAAAAACATTCTGTAATTCAGTTTATTACTCCAGTAAAGTATTATAGAGAGAAACGCGTGGAACACAATTTGAACATAAATCAAAAGTCCCCGCCCTTAGCCCTTGAGTCGGAATATCTGAAAGCTCCAATAAACAACGTACAGTTTCATAGAAAAGCGCCCGGTGAAAATCCAATTAAAGCCAGGCTTTAAAATAGCCTTATAGCCTTCGAACGGGAGAATATGAGGGTGAAATTCGCGCAGGTTTCCATAGCAGTCGTGGCCGAGTGGTTAAGGCGTCTGACTCGAAATCAGATTCCCATTGGGAGCGCAGGTTCGAATCCTGCCGGCTGCGTTTATTTTTCTTTTGGACCCTTTAAATACCTCGGTTTTTTTGCATTTTTTATTTATTTTGACCTCGCTTCAATGTATCTTAATTGTTTATTGAACTAGATTGGATTTATCTCTACTGTTAAATGTTATGAATTATAGCAAAAATGTACTGCAAAAATTTAATTTATTTTTTAGTTACGTAGGTTTTAAAAAAGTTTAACGAAATTTTGTAAGGTACTTGATACAAATAAGGCCTACCTAACTTTAAATGCTTATAATTCAATAAATATTAACGCCAAATAACAAAAACAAGGTTAATTATCTTCTTCCATCCTTTAATTTTAGCAACATTACAAAAAAAACACAATTTTTAACTAAATCTATTCAAAATAAGCAAATTACGAAACCACTGATTTTGGCTTTATTAAATCACCTACACGGAATAAGGCCTACATGATTCAAATGCCTCTAGACCTGAAAATTGAGGTTGTATTAAACAAAATGCGGTCTTATAACATTAAACACGTCGATTTGTTTGCGTTATCAAAATTTTACATACCAATTAAACAGAAATATACTGTACATGTCTAGATAAACTTAAATTCCACTTATTAAGAATTATACATAAATTATAGATAAAATTAAATATTCATAGTAACAAAGTAACGATTCCTTACATATATTATAAAAAAAAATATCAAAAATAAACAATATTGTTTTTTGTGTAGGGCTTATTAAAACACCGTGTTCGAATAAGGCCTACACATAAAACCTTTTAAATAAATCAGTTTAGGAACATCATTTAGTTTTGAATTTTTGTAAACAAAATGAGATATTAATTTTTGTTAGAACCAGGGCATAAAAAGGCTTCTGAATCATCTTTGCGAACTCCTACACAATATTTGTGATACCACCTAAAGCAGTCATTTATGCTCGCGTATCTGCTACTTTGTCTTCGAAACAGGCATGATAATACCAGCTTTTATTCTTCTTTCCTTAAGAATTATACATACGGCTTCTTTTTTCTTATTTTTGTATTTTGTTTCTTTTTTTACAGGTTTTGTAATTTTTTTTGACACTGTTTTCTTTTTCTTTTCTGTGCTGTTAGTAACATTCTTATTAAATAAATNNTAAGGAGTTTCTATTATGCGTCCATAAATCCAACACTTCACCATACCATTTATATGCCCATCTTAACATGGGCTAGTGTCGGCTCATATACCCATTTACCTAACACCGTGTATATTTTAAGGGACTTTTTCAATTTTAAGGCCTATTCAGACCTAAGCGGTATTCGCTACCGTCTGCGGCAGAGAAAACCCAGTGGGTATGCGATAATAATACTGTTTAGACCTAAGCGGTATTCGCTACCGTCTGCGGCAGAGAAAACGCTCTAGCCGCGGTACTTGATACTAAATACCTGAGCGAAACTCGCGTGGTATGTACCTCTACCCACAGCGGCAGCGAATATCGCTCAGGTTCGAATAGGCCTTTAAACAAATTCTATTGTTCAATAAGGCAGCAAGGCTGTTGCAATTGATTTGTGTTGTTTTGAAACTATCGCTATCGCAGATCGCATTGTACAATCAGCATCAAATAGTTCGTGACACCCAAAGTAGCCAAAAAAATCGCAACACGTCTTTGTTACTTTTCAATCAACTTTTTGGCTACTTTGGGTGTCATGAGCTATATTTGACGCTGCCTGTACTGATATTTTTATACGTTTTTCAGAGTCAAATTCGGAATATTCGAAACCAATTACGACGATGAGAAGAAAACACGGACTCCTCGAGCTTCCGCGTTTTGGTACAAGAAACTGGCAGCGACGAAATCTTTAGACTGTGATTTTAAACCTCCTTTAAAAAATATACAATTTTAAGACTGATTTTATTCGTTTGTTATTATACCTCGAAATCAAAAAATCCTTGTAGCTTTTCACCTATTCGCATTTCGCCGCGATACCAAAATTTCTGAATAGATTTTTATTCTTGTTGTATAACTTTTGATCGCTAATTACAATTGTCTAAAAAATTCATAGTAGATTTACTTTGTGCACATTGGTGCTACAGCTTTGGTGCCATAGTAACAAATGCTAAGGCGGACGTGTTCTATCAGAATAGGTACAGCACTTTTATTTTTTGGCCGGCACTTTTGATTTTGGACCAAAATGGATGATGTCCTTTGCTACTGTTGTAAAAATCTGTTAAAAATATATGCTATTAACAAAATATACTACCGATACTACACGCTACAACAAAAAACGCTATCACGGTGAAATGCGAATAGGTGAAAAGCTACAAGGATTTTTTGATTTCGAGGTA